ACCAGAACATCGGCTACCAACGTTGGTGAAACCCTCGACTGTCAGCTACAGAGCAGCTTTTCAACGCCTACAAGGAAGGTGAGAAATAAATAAATATAATGCAAATATTATGTGTATCTTTGGGAAATCTTAGTTTGTATTCACTTATCCAGTAAAAAAATATGTTCACATGCTGTCCATCGAAGATAGCATGCGGGTTTTGTAGACAAGAGTGCTAGCTTTTATATCCTTGAAAATATAAAAAATAAATGTGTCAACTGCTTTTTTTCTTCAGCAGGATGAAGTTGGCTGTGGTATTCCTGGTGGTGTCCATGGTTGTGCTTATGGCTGAACCTGGAGAAGGATTTTTTGGACATATTTTGAAACATGTTGTGGGACGATGCGCCAGGTAAGATGTTTAAGTTCTTGGTAACATCTTAAAAATCGTAAGGGAACAAAACGTCAATTTGCCAAATATACAACTTATACTTTTTAACCCTCATCTCTCTGTGCTCTTTCCTACTGAACTTTTCTCTTAGGGGTGTCCTTGGAAAGAAGCAGGCAATGGAACAAGCCGACCAGCTGGTGGACCAGCAGGTGGACCAGCAGGAACTGGACCAGCAGGACAAAGACCAGCTGCAAATGCAAAAACGTTCATTTCAGAAACACAAGCTTCATTAGGCAACGACCCAAAAATAATTTCGGTCAAGGTGCCCGACCTGTTGACAAAATAAACATGCATTTTGCTTTTCCTGAAGGATTTTTGCTTTATTGATTTTGATACAATTAATAAATAAATAAAAATGGCTTGGCAGCACAATAAACTGATCTGTTTGTGTATTATTTCCATTTGTTAATCTCAGATTAATAAGAGACAGAATCTTTGACTTTTCTTGATCAACTTTTAGATGGCAGGTTTATATCAAAATTTGGTGTGAATTTAATTTTACTTGCCCAAATAAATTCAAAAGTAGTGCTTATAATTTTTATCCCTCAATGTTGACATATGACAAATGGTGAACCGATTTTTTTTTTTTACCAGAGAATCATTAAAGCAAAACAAAACAAAAAAAACCTAAAGTTGAACTTTAATTCAACTGTTTTTGAGCAGAAAATGATCTGAAGCACCAGGAAGTCTGAATGAATGGCCTATTCAAAGCTGGAACTGAAGTGTGACTAAAATGAGACTTTAAACTGGCTATAATCCTTTCGGTGTGTGACCTGAGTTAACCCTTAAATGCGTAGCGGCAACTGTATTTAAAACTTACTTTCTTGTGCAAATAATTTTACTGGGGTTTGCAAAAGTATTCCATAATTTACCACAAACAATATATTTCAACTGAATATAACTTGACCAACACAAAGCAGTATATTACAGAGCCCAAAGCAGGACATGAAAAAAGAAAAAGATGATCCCAACTAAGGCTACTTCAGTCACACTGCAACCTGAAGAGACCCAAATCAGATTTTCTGTCAAATCAGATTTTTTTTGGTGTGGTAAGTCTAATTCCCAAATGTACGTGATCTCCAGCGTGAACTGCAAACGACATGAAAGTGTCGCGTATGCGCAGTAGAGGGCGCAATAGCGTCAGCGTTCTCAGTGTTCTGCCAACCGCCATAAAAAGAAGAAGTGCTCAGTGTTT